ATGGTTTGCACACTCAGAGTTTGCTCACCTTTGGTGTGCAAAAGAACACATTTTGTGTTGCTTTGGGCTCAGGCTTCCCATTTATAAAATTCCCATTGTCATAAAGATTTGGGATCAATAGTGCAGAATGAATATGTGGATACAGTGGTTTGTATTTGAGAGATTCTGAGTTGCCTGAAGGCCTCCTTGGTACCAGGTAAGAGCTCCTTCTGCTCTATTGAGTGAAGAGAGAGCTGGCCTCTGGACTGAATTGGGCAGTTTCCAGGGCTCGGCACAGAGCACTGTAACTCTTCAACTAGAATTGCTATCCAAGTACTTGTGGGCAAGAGTTGCCACTTCTTTTTAATATTGTCTGAAGAAAGTTATTTTGAGAATATGCAAGGGCCTCCAAACCTGGCAACTTTAAGACTTGTGGATTTCAGCTCCCAGGATTCTGGTTTAGGAGTTCAACTTCCATGGATGGATGAGAAATTCTGGGAGCTGAAGTCCATGACTCTTAAAACTTGCCATGTTTGGAGATCTCTATAAGACTGAGCTGCCACCATTATCTTAGGCAGGAAAATTAAGGCTGGTCTTAGCTTATCTGGCCTGTTCACTTATTGCAAGTGTGTTGATTCAGTTTTCCTCCATTTGAATACAGAGGAGAAACCAGAGGAACCAACCACATCAGCAAAAGAGGATCTGCCTCCAGTTAATGTGGGGCTGCTGAACGGGGGCCATCGCATTGACTACGTGCTTCAAGAGAAACCCATTGAAAGCTTTAATGAATATTTATTTGCACTGCAAGGCCATTTATGCTACTGGTAAGCTCTGTCTACTGCGCTAATCCTGATCTGGTACCCAACAGTTTTGCTGGGTGGGGGCTGTCATCAAATACCTTTGACCCAGGATATTGATCTGGTCTTCCACTAAGTGTGCAAGTTTGGGAAGGACGCACATGTAGCCAGGAAGGAAGGGTAGGATACCAGCCTAGCAATCTAGATCAGCTAACTCAACCCTTCCAGCCAGATGGCTTTCTCATCTATATTGTCATGCAAGGTGGCAGTTGAAGAAGACTGTATTGTCTCTCATCTTCTCCATCATTCCTATTCTTCTCCAAGAGGCTCATAACTATGTATCTCCTTCCTTTGTATTGTGTTGTTTTAATTGCTGAGGTGGAAGTTAGGCTTATGCCCAGTTTTTACTTTTTCACATTTAGTTTCAAATTGTATACAGATGGGATAAACATGATGTCCTGAATTGAATTTAGTTAACTATATGCATTACAGCTAGGATTCTAAGTATGTGAAATATATATACATCAAAATTTTGCTAGTGTGTAATCAATAATGAATAGTTGTTTCTTTTTCCTTTTTTCTATCCCTCCTTCTAGGGAGTCAGAAGACACAGTATTATTGTTGTTGAAAGAGATTTATCAAACAAAGGGCATCAGCATGGATCAGCCCCTTTTGTAGAGACAAACTGACCAGCTGCACAACTCTGGATACCAAATATGTAAGTCTGTTTTTTTTATTTGAGGCCAGTTAGCTCCAGCTACCGTTTGAGAAAAAGATAAAAAGCAATTGAAGATTTAGAAATTATCCTACTGTGTATATTGTATGTCTTCTATTAATTTTTTCCTTGAATTAGATCCTCTTCAAGATCAGCTGCCTTCAATGAAAAGCTAACCTAACATGGCTGATGTACCATGTTGTTTCTTTGTTTTACAGATCTCCTGTCACCTTCCTCCTCTTTTGTCTGATGTGCCCAGCATGCTTCCTCCTCTTAGTCTGGAACTCTGGAAAATTCAGTATCCTATTCAGGGATAGTAGTGACCATTGAGATCCTGTCAAGACTCCTGGTATATTCAGGCCCTTGTGAATTAACCGAACTGCATTTTCTGTCTACAGCCAGTGTGTCTTTAGATCCAGTGCAATACCAGTTGTGTCACCTTCAGTTTATGCACTAGTCAAGACTTGAAATTGGTGCTAGAATTTCACATCTTGTCTCCATTAGAAAAAACCTCAAGATGAGTGATGGACAGTGAAGGATTTTGACTTTTAGAAGCACTTCTGAGGTCATACCGAGTGTTCAGCATTACATGTCCCATTGTTTGTGGGGAGTTCATTTTTGTTTTGTCTTCTCTTATTGCTGCTGCTGATTTACTCAAAGGGTTCAAGGTCAAAGCGAAAAGCTGGGCAAGCTAAGTCCCATTCTTCTCTGAAATAAGTATGATGATGCCAGCAGTAGCAATTGTATCATTCTACTTTTCTAAAGTATAACTACTTACCTGGGAAGGAACTGGCAAAGCTTGTAAATTTGATCTTGTTCACAACGATCAGAATATGGATGAGTGATTCCTCTCCATAATGTAAACAGTGTTGTAGAAGCTGTGTGTTTACATTCTGACGTGGGAGGTGCCAAACTTCATACAAGCAGCAGCTTGATATGTCCTTGTTTCAATGCATGCAATTGGGTTCTTGAAAGCATCTGAAGAATGAGCTCACTTCCTAAACCTCTACCCAGTTATTGGATTGTTTCTTCAAGCACCAGATGAGGGCAGCTCTATACTGGCAATTTTACTTGGGAGCTCAGGGTGATTGGCTGACCATTTGGACAGACAGTTCACATTGATAGTTTAGTCTGCCAGAGTGTAAATTCAATGCATGTCTCAATATAATCTTGGCTGGCTAGTTGTGGAACACACCTGTGATTTCATGGTGTATGTATGTTGGGCCATGCAACTGTTACATGACCATTTTTTTTTTTTTGGTCATGAAGTGGTCAATTGCTTTTCACTTATCTCACATTCTGCAAAATTTCTCTTTTCAAGAAAGTCTTGGCCAAGGGAGCAGCAAGCAGCCTGTTTACAAGTAAGATGTGATCACGCTATTGCTACATGTCTGTTCACCTTGCGTATTCCAATTCTGTGCCGGATACTTAGTTGTTCTCGTTATGTTTGCACTATTATTGCATCATTGAATTTTCCAGCCTCTCATGCTACACTTGTGGTTGAACAGAATGCCATTTGACACGACCAAATTTTCACAATTGGAGTATCAATAGGAAAAATCAAGCAGTTGGAAGTTAATGCACTTTGTAAAATATTACCTTTTTAAAAAAAAGTTATTTAACTCTTTTCCAGCAGCTGTCTGCCTTTGGTGAATTTATTGATCTTTGCAAGCAGAACCCTGACTGACAGTTAGGCCTCTTTATCTTCTAATAAGCACAGTTGTTAAATCATTAGGATTGACTTCTTATACAGTAATCTTAGTGATCCCAAGTGGTTTTATCTTGTTATGGTAGTTAGATCATCATCCATAGATTGGCTGTTCATTGGTTGTTCAAATGAGATTTAAGGATGTATAGGATTAATCTCACAATGCAACCACAGATATCTTTAAAAAATACCCAAGTGCTGTTATGCTGCACAAGTTTGGTTATTCTGTAAAACTTTGCAATTGTTATACCTATCTATGGTAGAAAAACGTTTCAGCCTAGACTGTCTTAATAGTAATCTGCTGTACAGTATGAATAGTATAAAAAAAATCAATAATCATAATTTCTGATGTTAGAATAGCAATTTCACATGAAAACAGCAGCATCCAATGACCCCAAGATTAAAAACAAAGCACATGGGTAATGACATGGATAAATTGAACTTTGGGTCTTTCTCCAGCTAAGGAAATACCTTTGAAAATGGGAGTTTGTTATAGTTGGATAAATGCACAAAACTGCAAGCTGAGTACTAATTGAGGGACCAAGAAGTAACAAATTAGTTATGAGCTATAAAACATTGATCCATTGCACAGAAATTCCACCACAATCAACAAAATGTATTGTGGTGCGAGTATTGATGGGAATTAAATAGACTCTAAAAAATGCTTTCTTTTAGGAAAGTTCTTACCTATTTATCTTTAACCAGGAGTGCAAAATATATTGACTGTAAGAACCCCTAAACCCTTTTGGGGATAGCTGAATATTGCCCACTATTGCTAGAGTAGTGGTTTAGGAAGGGACATGATAGCTCAGCAGTTAAACACGCCAAGCTTGTCAGTTGGAGAGCTAACAATCCAGGTTCAAGACCTAAGCTCCATGCAACAGCTCCCATTACTTGGCCCAGCTTCTGCCAATCTAACAGGTCACAAGTATGCAAATGCAAGTAGATAACTAGATACCACTTCAATGGGAAGCCAACAGCATTCTGTGGGCCTTGGCATCTAGTCATTCTGGCCACAACACTGTGGCTCCCTCCATCAAGAAAAAGATGAGCACTGTGCTCTAAAGTTGGACATGAACTCACAGGGAAATCTTTAATTTTTAGTGGTTTAGGAACAGCAGTGGTGTGAAGCCATAGTTTAACTCATTAAAAATCCCCCTAAAAGAAGCAAGGCTAAAAATAGAAGTGTGTAGTCTTGCGAACTTTGAGTCATCACACTATTTTAAATCAATACCAATTTGCACTGCTGAGAATCAAACTTTTTGCAGAGCAGTGCAATGGTAGAGGATGCAAAACTAAGAATACTGCCATAAATATAGAAAAACTGCACAAATCTTGAATGAACAGCAAGGAGGGAACCTGGCAGAACAAATATATGCAGTTAATATAATTAGTCTCCTAGATTTAATTTTGACTCCTTAAATATTACACCTCAGTGGCAAATGTTGGAGACTCCTGATTCCTTTGTAATTAAGAGTAGCAGAAAAATGGCCAATGCATGGGTCTGGATTTAGGGCATCTATCTTTATACCTGTTTCAATGCATGTCAATGTCCTTGGTGAATGGTTGAGTTACTGCTCTGTTTTGAAAGGACTGGTGTGTTGTTGCACAAAATCACTGAATCCTGAAATACTTTACCACCACCCCCGTGCTGCTATTTTAAGGCAGAATTTTGGGGAGAAAACTATTACAATTGTACCCATCTGTCTTTGGATGGACAGGAATGTTCCCTGGGCATCATGGGAAAAGATGTCAGACCTCTCCTGTAATACATAGGTCAAGACTGCACACTGAGATCATGTGACATCTATTTATAGGCATTTAAACTCAAGAGCAATGAGGGAATGGACTAGAGACTCCTTTTGTTGCTCTGTTGTGATCAGATGAGGAATGGTTCAATATTGCCAGGAATGAGTTGGCCACAAAAAAATAAATCTTCCCAAACTCTGCAATTTTGCTGTCCTGGAAAATATTCACTCTCTCAGCCACATATGCGTGATGAAGGGGAAGAAGTAGAGGCCCTGAGTTTCAATCAGGCTGGTATACTTTGGACAACGATGCTTCTCCCCCTACCACCTCCTGGCCATTGAGCAAAGCAGAACATGGATGATTAAGCTCTCTTTCCCCCCCTCGAGTCTGCAAATACAGAAAGGAAGCCCCTGAGTCCTTCATACATCTAGGTTGAAACCAGAAAGTGTCAGCTTTTGCCTCTCTGGAGAAGATAGCCTGGATACATGCTGCAGAGGCTGATGGCATTTGGGGTCCGTCAGTGGAGGGTAATACTGTCTGTAGCAGAGATAGGCAAAGGTGAAACCCATTCCAGAGCCAACCAGCACATCTTAAAAGGAACAAAAGAATACAAAGATCAATATCTAACACATTGGATATCAACCCATGCTAAGCTTTGGTAGCCAGCAATGGTCTTAATTTTGCACAGGGGCCATGCTACCAAGGAAGGCAGAGTTGGCTGGGATTTTTTCAACTGCTAAGAGGCTGCAAGATTTGGTTTGGAAATTGATTTATCCTCTTTTAGGGTTTGGGTAGTGCAGTGGCTTAGTGGTTAAGACCCTGGGCTTGTCAGCTGGAAAGCTGGGAGCCAAGATTCAAGACCCGAGTGCCATGTTACAGGGTGAGCTCCCGTCCTTGGCCCAGTTCCTGCCAACCTAGCAGTTCGAAAGTATGCAAATGTGAATTGATAAATAGGTACAATTTCAGTGGGAAGGTAACAACATTCCTTGAGGTCATGCTGGCCACATGACTGCAGAAATGTCTTTGCACAGTGCTACCTCAATGGCTTTGACTCCTTTTAGGGTTTACATGCTACTCCCAACTCAAACAGTCATACAATAACAATTTAGACCATTAAGATTTGCAGCAGCATCAGATATTTGCACTGAAATTTGCCATTCCATTACAACCAGAGGTGGTGGTGGCCTCATGAGTTTTGGCAGAAAAAGATGCCACTCCCTCCATTCCTTTCTTTACAGCAGAGATGTACAAGCTAAAGACTCCAAAGCCATCAGCACCTCCACCAAAGCCCAGGCTTCAAAAACAATTTCATCATAGGACAGAAAGGGAAAGTTATTAGATGCCCCAATGGAGAATGGCCTTATGACTCTTATTCCATTTGAATTAAATAGAGATGTATGGAGTTTCTTTTGTTCACCCAATGAAGCTCAAGAACATGGCTCTTGGCCAAAATATAAGCAATGTTGGGCTTTTGACTAATGGGGCAAGGAAACAGACTTGTATGTAATAGAAAAATCGTCTTTCCCACATACGTACACACACTTTTCCCTCACCTTGCCAGTGATGTTTGTAATCACACATATGGGACAAGGCAATGAGCATGGCAATGAAGAGGGGTCCCCAGAAGGCGCAGAGGTGCCAGGATTGGCCCCGACCACCAGGTGCAAAGCAATGCAGCTTCCCTGCAATGTAGAAGGAGCCAAAAGCAAACCCAGCAAAGACAACTGGAAAACATAAAAGATCCCTTATGAGATCCAGCAGTGCAAATGGCCATCACTATCTGTAGCTAGAAATACAAGGGATCCAAAGAAGAAATCTCTGCTTTTCTCAAATAGAAATGTGGAATAGACATAGATGTGGGAGAACGAGTGGCAGAACCTGGGGGTGGAGTTAAAAGAAGGTTCAGCCAAAAATCCCAACATAGTCACAAACTAAATCCAACCTCCCTTGAATTCTGTTGATCCTTATTTAGCTCCTAGCAGTTCATTGAGAAGATTCCTGTGTGTAGGCATGATTAGCAATAAATCTGTTTAATTGGACCTTCCCACGGTCCTGAGCTTTCATACCTCACAACAATGCTGTTAAGAGCTGCCCTAAACCAAAAAGAAAGTCACATCCTTTCAGCTACTCCCAAGTGATGCAACACTGCTCCTCCCAAACAAGCAAACAAAACAATTGACATAAATTAAAAATAAAAGAATGGGAGTTGAATACAGTAATTGAAGGAAATGAGAGATTTATCAATGTTACAGTGGGTAAATTGCAATTAGGTCCAATATCTTCTGACCACAATAGATAAGAGTGTACTTTTCTGCTGGTGCCAATTGAAATAGTTTGCAATTAAGAAGGTTTATCAATTCTATTCTCCAAGAATGACAGATTGGGCAAACCAGGAGGATAGTTCTGACTGTTTCAGTGTTAGTATCAGACCAGTTAAATGATCAATCTTGGAAGGGAATGTTTTGTTCTTTTCAAACAATTCTATACAAGTAAAGGAAAGGATCTACTGAATTAAATACAATTTACTGTCAGATCAGGCAAGCAGGACTACAATCCTGGTTGTTTTTCAATGTTAATGCAATTAAAGAAGGAGAGAACCATATATAGCCCTACCGATGTTGGAACCTGCCCTCCACTCTTGCCTAGCTAGTTGAGAGGGAATATACATGTACGCATACATACATACATACATTCCTTACTTATAAAATACACTGCTCAAAAAAATAAAAAAGGAAACACAAAAATAAGACATCCTAGATGTAAATGAATGAAATAATCTTATTGACAACAAAATCACACAAAAATTATCAATGGAAATCAAATTTAGCAACCCATGGAGGTCTGGATTTGGAGTTACACACAAAATTAAAGTGGAAAAAAACACTACAGGATGGTCCAACTTTGATGTATTGTCCTTAAAACAAGTCAAAGTGAGGCTCAGTAGTGTGTGGCCTCCATGTGCCTGTATGACCTCCTTACAACACCTGGGCATGCTCCTGATGAGGTGGCGGATGGTCTCCTGAGGGATCTCCTCCCACACCTGGACTAAAGCATCCCCCAACTCCTGGACAGTCTGTGATGCAACGTAGCACTGGTGGATGGAGCGAATCATGATGTCCCAGATGTGCTCAATTGGATTCAGGTCTGGGGAACGGGTGGACCAGTCCATAGCATCAATGCCTTCGTCTTGCAGGAACTACTAACACACTCCAGCCACATGAGGTCTAGCATTGTCATGCATTAGGAGGAACCCAGGGCCAACACCAGCATATGGTCTCACAAGGGGTCTGAGGATCTCATCTCGGTACCTAATGGCAGTCTGGCTACCTCTGGCGAGCACATGGAGGGCTGTACGCCCCCCCCTAAAGAAATGCCACCCCATACGATTACTGACCCACTGCCAAACTGGTCATGCTGGAGGATGTTGCAGGCAGCAGAATGTTCTCCATGGTGTCTCCAGACCCTGTCACATCTGTCCCATGTGCTCAGTGTGAACCTGCTTTCATCTGTGAAGAGCACAGGGTGCCAGTGGCGAATTTGCCAATCTTGGTGTTCTCTGGCAAATGCCAAACGTCCTGCACGGTGTTGGGCTGTAAGAACAACCCCCACCTGTGGACATCAGGCCCTCATACCACCCTCATGGAGTCTGTTTCTGACCGTTTGAGCATCCACATGCACATTTGTGACCCGCTGGAGGTCATTTTGCAGGGCTCTGGCAGTGCTCCTCCTGTCCCTCCTTGCACAAAGGCAGAGGTAGCGGTCCTGATGCTGGGTTGTTGCCCTCCTACAGCCTCCTCCACGTCTCCTGATGTATTGGCCTGTCTCCTGGTAGTGCCTCCATGCTCTGGACACTACGCTGACAGACACAGCAAACCTTCTTGCCACAGCTCGCATTGATGTGCCATCCTGGATGAGCTGCACTACCTGAGCCACTTGTGTGGATTGTAAACTCCGTCTCATGCTACCACTAGAGTGAAAGCACTGCCAGCATTCAAAAGTGACCAAACCATCAGCCAGAAAGCATAGGAACTGAGAAGTGGTCTGTGGTCACCACCTGCAGAACCACTCCTTTATTAGGGATGTCTTGCTAACTGCCTATGCTTTCCACCTGTTGTCCATTCCATTTGCACAACAGCATGTGAAATTGATTGTCAATCAGTGTTGCTACCTAAGTGGGCAGATTGATTTCACAGAAGTGTGATTGACTTGGAGTTACATTGTTTTTTTTAACCCCTTTATTTTTTTGAGCAGTGTACTTTTGGTTTGATTAAAAAAAACCCCATAAATATGCAATGAAAGATGCCACTGCTTATTAAATTGAATAACAACAAAAAAAGGTACTTCTCTCCTTGAATTAAAAAAAAAATTCAGGCAGGAATGGTATCTTTTCCAAAGAACAAAACTGAATAGAATTCAGAAAATTTCCTTTGCCTGCAGCACTTAGACTGCACCGTAAGCAACTCAAATATAGCAAGGATGCTTGGTAAGACGTATATAATGTATGTATGCAAACTGCAGATCTAGAAGTAGAGACAAAATGGCGTATCTTTAATATATGATTTTTTTTTCTGACAGAAGCAATGAATAAATGAGAGGTGGGCAACGTAAAAAAAATACTGAGGCTGTTGTATGTATCCCTACAATAAGATGCTCCAGTGAGCACATATGCATAATGGAACATTCACACAGAGGGACAAATCACATGAATAATACTCTATAGATTGTAAGACAGTTCATAAAGAATGGTTATCTCATAGGACCTAATAACATTTAAATGAAGCCCAAGGGGAGAGAAATACATTCATAACCACTGCAACTTCTATTTCCTTTTAATATCTGCTTAGGCTTTTCTTGGATTCCTAGACCAATTCTGTGAACTGAACTGCAATATTTTGAAAAATGATTTTATGCCACATTAGATTGGGACATAGTACATAGTACATACATCATATATCATAGTAAAGACCCTTAAGCAATGTGTTGTGTTTAAAGTTAAATATGCAAACCCAACCATTCTGACTGATAGTTTTTGGCTAAATGTGTTGGGTACAGCCAACCAAAAGTGGTTTATTCAATGAATTGTGGTTATTCAAGCCATGTCTTAGCACAATATATGAACCAATTCAATATGGTTCCTCAAAACAAAAGTTCTTGGAAAGGGTAATTAAATGTCCCCAAACTAGCCATAATACTATTGCCAGTTCTCTAAGGGCAGTTCTCACAGGAAAAAAAATACTCACACGAGGAATATCCACTAGGGAAGCTCTTGCGCCCTTCAATCACTACTTGTGCATCTCCTGTGCACAAGAACTGATCAGTTGCCCGTCCATCTGGAAAGCAGCGGTAGAAGAAATCGGGCCGAGGCCTTGAAGAGAAGTGTAGGTCAAAGTTTCTCAACTTCAGGAAGATGGAGAAGAGCTGAGGCAAAGAGCTAACCCGAATCTCCAATGTTGCTGTGACAGGTCTAGACTCTATTGTGGTACCTACAAATACCTCACTCCATATCCAATATCCCCTATTTGACTTCTATATTGTGAGATCATCTCTCTCTTCTCATCAGAGCTTGAGCTGTTGTAGATGTGATTCTCCCCAAATATTATCCTTTACAATAGGGCTGTAAGAGGGGATGATTGACTTAAGACTTCACTGTGATGTCTATAGCTGAGTAGGGCCTAGAACTTAAGATGTCCAGTCCAACATCTTAATTAAAGCATTAATAGCTATAAATACCATAAAAACAGATCAGCTAGATACTCCTGTCCTCTCCACTAGGCTTGTTGGTCTTCTGAAAGAGAAGGAAATCCCATGACATCCCTTCCTCTGTGTGGAAGAAGGGAAATCTTTTCTCTATCAGTGGCCCCTTTTTTAAGGGAGGAAGGAAGTGGATGGAAAAATAAGGATTAAGGAAAGGAGAGAAGAAGGTAACTTCATGCACTTGATGAGAAAGCTCCATAACTTGCCTATCAAGGAAAGTATCCAGTGATACTTTTAACTTGGATTGCCGAAAGGAAAAATTATGGAGTGATGGAGCAAATAAGACTGTCTCCAAAAGTGGGATGGAGACACCAATGGGAGAAAAATGATATTTTTCAACATATTCTTTGGACGATACCTTTAGAAAGAAATACAAGGGAACATTTCCGCTGTTTCTTATGTAACATTACAGGAAGTGTTCAAACTTAAATAATTGCTCTTCCATATTGCCATCTGGTTTCTTCCACTTCATTTCTGGCCCTCTCACATTACTATCTCAGAATATCAGTCCTGCCTAGAAGCAACCAGAGGGGAAAATGCTAGCTCTTTCTCTAAAATTGCCAGAAAAGAACCTTACCTGCCCACGGCCAGCTTTACAACATTGGTGAAGATACCATTCAGGGCAAGTGCCAAGCTAATAGCTGAACCAAAGAAAAACAAAGCAATTCCAGTTTAGATCCCCAAGGGAAACAACTGGACAGAAATACAAGTACAATACCTTTAAAGCAATGCAGCTCAATAGGTCTCAACAGTCAATTTGTTTTGTATGGGAAATCCAAATTTGGGGTTGCCATGAATAAGCAGCTTGCCATGTCCTATCAGCAAGTCTGGTAAGGAAACTAGAATCACCCTCCATAAGTTTTTATTGAAATATTCATTCATTCATTCATTCATTCACTCACTCACTCATTCTAGATTGCCCATCTCCCTCAAAGAGGGATAGATGCAGATGGAATCCTGGTTTATTGTTCCCAACATTAAGGTGACAACAAACTTCTCATCTCTTCCCTACAATAGGACAAATTTGACACAATGAACCTACTGCCTTATTCAGCAATTTAATGCAACCCCCAACTTTCTGCAAACATCATCCCCCCTGTGCTCACCCAAGCATGCTTCCCGGGTATCTTCTTTGCCAGCTTTCATGAAGAATTTGGCCAGGAAAATTAAGACCAAAGGAGACACAAAGGAAATGAACTGCAACAAGAGGATCAAGATTCAGATAAGTGTTACATTTACAAAAGCAAAACAAAGCTGCACAAATGATTTAAAAAAAGACATTGGGACATTTCTTAGCTTTAAAACAGGATTGTACCACCTTTTACATAGAAGAGGATTCATTTAAGCTCTTTGGATGCTTGCTGGGAATTATGCTAAAATAACAGTTTTCAGAAAAATGGGCATTTCTGCCCCCCAAAATGAGAGCAAGCAATGTGCATAGGACTTCATTTGGATCAGTGTTTTTCAAGTTTGACAACTTTAAGGTGTATGGACTTCAACTCCCAGAATTCCCCAGGCAGTAGAGAATTCTGGGAGTTGGGAATCCATACATCTTAAAGCTCTGAAGTTTGAAAGACACAGATTTAGACTTAACAGACCCAGATGAACAAAAATAAACCACAGAAAAACAATTCCATGCCTCCCCAAAACACATGACATGTACTGGAAATTTTAGCCACCCCACCTTATACCACTCAGTTTCACTTTGTTCTGTCCAAAAATGCTATTTTTCTTTAAGGTCTGATTCTGGCTGACCCACCATTGTCCATCACCTTTTTTGCTCTGAAACAACAAAGATTTGATAATCTGGAAGCATGCAGCTACATGTTTTGAAGCTTACAGTGGCAGTCCTTTCAAAGCATGAAATAAAGGTTTTTAACCATAAGAAGAGTCTATTTTAATGTATGTGTGTGGGGGAAATAACTTTCTAATAGTAAAGATGGTTTCACAATGGAAAAAATTAACAAGGAAATTGGTATCCTTTTTCCAAGTCTCTTCAAACAGAGGCTACACAGCCATCTGGATTGGGGTGCTTTAATTTGGGTTTATTGCACTGAGCCAAAGTCTGGGCTTAATCGAAGCAAAGTTCTGCTTGCCAAGAAACAGGCATGCAAATAAAAGTTGAAGGGCGAATGGACAAAACACTTACAAATATAGACCTGGTGAGCACATGGTCAGACTCTATGTAGGGATTTTTGTAGAGCCACATTTCTTCAGGTTGGATGACTCGCTGGAAAGGTGGCAACACTTGAGTGAACCTAAAGAAAGTAGGATCCCAAAATGTTTGGCTCTGTAAGAATTATGGGCTTTCCATAGCAATTTACAGCACCACATTGCTCTTTCAGTTACATGAAATCATACAACCTTGGTCCATGAATACAATATATCTTAATCCCAGTATTTGTAAACATTTGTCTAGCCCTGGGCTGTAATAAAATATCTTTCTAATTCTATGTAATGCAGCACAGTTTGTCATCTCTTTAACCTTAACCCATCTTCCCCAGGGCGAAAATAAAGGATAATAGTAATAATAGTAATACCAACAGCATCATCTACCACATACTGAGCTATTGCAAGACAATCACTCAGACTGACTACAAACAGTCGCTCGGATAGTCCACTGGAATTTGTGTCACAACTACCATCTGCCTGTAGCAAAGAACTGGTGGGATCATAAGCCTGAAAAAGTGATCGAAAATGAGCATGCAAAACTACTGTGGGACTTCCGAATACAGACTGACAAAGTTTTGGAACATAATACCCCGGATATCACGATTGTGAAGAAGAAAAAAGTGTGGATCATCGACATTGCCATACCTGGTGACAGCAGAATCGTCGAGAAACTTGAAAAAGTCACCAGATAACAGGACTTGAGAATCGAACTGCAGAGACTCTGGCATAAACCAGTGCAGGTGGTTCCAGTGGTACTCAGCACACTGGATGCTGTGCCTAAAGACCTAGGCAAGCACTTAAAAAAATTGGCGCTGACAAGATCACCCTTGGTCAGCTGCAGAAGGCCACCTTACTGGGATCTGCTCACATAATCCGCTGATACATCACACAGTCCTAAACGCTTGGGAAGGGTTCGACTAATGATTTGTGATAGGAAACCCAGCATAGTTATCTCGTTTGCTGTGTATACTGTCATTTCTATGTATAATAATAATAATAATAATAATAATAATAATAATAATAATAATAAT